AAAAGACTCCACATAGAACTCCCCTATGACCCAGCAATCCCACTTTTGGGCATTTACCCAAATGATCACAAACAAGGCCACACTAAAGCTACCAGCACAACTATGTTTATTGCAGCATTATTTACCATAGCTAAGACATGGAACCAACCCAGATGCCCCTCAGTAGATGAATGGATCAAGAAGATGTGGTATATATACACAATGGAATTCTATGCCTCCATCAGAAAGAATGACATTTCCCCATTTGTTAGGAAATGGAAAGGCTTGGAAAAAATTATATTAAGTGAAGTAAGCCAGGCCCAAAGAAACATAGGTCCCATGGTTTCCCTTATTTGCAATATCTAGTATAGGTATGAGTCAAGCGGAAAAAGTCAGATAATGTGATGTTAGGAAAACGAACCCTCAAATATGTATTTTAATGTTTTTGTTTCTTTCACGCATGTGTTTCTAACGCATTTATAAGATTATTTCTTTGTTGCTTTGTATGTCCCTCCCCCACAGTGTAACCCCCGCTTTCACTATATTTGATGTCAGTATAACATGTGAAGGAGACGGGGACAAACAAGTTGTTTAAGGATTCAGGTGGACCTGTTGCAACAATGAGAAGTACAAAATGTCATGTCAAAACCAGCTTTACAATGTCGGTGTGGGGGGGGGGGGGGTATGATTGGGTGGGGGGGAGGGGGGAGGCTGGGAAGGGAGGTGAAGGGTAAACAAAGGAGGAGGCTGCAATGCTTGGTAAGAAATGTATGCATTATCCTGCCCATGTAATTGTAACCCCTCTGTACAGTATGTTCTCAAATAAAATAAAATTAAATTAAAAAAAAAAAAAGAATACATGCTTTCTATCATATGCAGAAACTAAATCTGGTTTATATAGGATCATATGCATATGTACACCAATATATTAACTAAAGTATGGTATAATAAGGAAAAATTCAAATCTTTGAACAACTATCTTACAGTCTAACAAAATGAACACCAGAAAGTTAGTACTTGAAGGGTATGAGGTCCAGCAGAAGTGGGTAAATGAATAAAGAGAAGAAGGATGAAAGAATGCAGTAACTTTATTCAATGCATATATGTGACTAGGAAAATTAAGGAAATGGATAGTGCTGGGAGAATTGGGGGAGAAAGACAAAAGGACGACATTGATCAAAACGCATTGTACTCATAAACCAGTATGGTAAATTGAAATACAGATAGTTAAATTAGAATAAAAAAAGAAAAATAGGTAAGCTATATAAAATAAAATTTGGGTTGAGATTATGTTTTAAGGCCAGGTGCCTATGACTCACACCAGTAATCCTAGCTACTTGGGAGGCTGAGATCTGAGGATTTCAGTCAAAGCCAGCCAGGGCAGGTCAAAGCAAGCCAGGGCAGGAAAGTCTGTGAGATTCTTATCTCCAATTAACCACCAGAAAACTGGAAGTGGTACTGTGGCTAAAAGTGATAGAGTGCTAACCTTGAGGGAAAAAGCTCAGGGACAGCTCCCAGGCCCTGAGTTCAAGCTCCATGATTGACAAAAATAAAAATAAAAACTACATTTTGATTTTTCTGTGGTAAAGCTATATGTTAAGTCCCCTAATTCTTTAAATTTTACATTGGGTATTTACAATGTGAAGTAAGCTATGAGATTCTTGGAGTGAGAAATGCCATTGTAGCTAAGCCACAAGGAAACCTACACTCATAGGCAGCTGACATTCCCTGGAAGGTAGAAAAATCTTTCCTTCCTCTTCAAGAATGACTAGTAAAACAATCCATTTGTAGTTGACAGTTTCTAGTCCTGTTTCACTTATTCATAGGTTGATGACATTGTTTTCAATCCTTTTTTTTTTCTTTGTCTCAGGCTCTTAAAGAGTCAACAGAAACCACTAAAATTAGTAGTCGTTTTTGGTAAATGGTGAATAATATGCTCCTTTGAACACCTCAAATTGTAGACCAGGCTTGAATTAGTCATTTAGTTTTCAGTTAATTAACCATGATCACAAGTTGTGATAACTATGATATTATAATTGTGATGGAGATTTTATTTTGCCTGACATACATTATCCTCACGTATCTGACAGTGACTAAAATTTAATCTTTCATATTTTTAGGAATTCATGTCCTAAAGGAACTCTAAAAAACATAGAAGGAACTTAAAGAGGCATAAAAGAAACCTGTTTTTCAGCCTGGAATAAATATTAAATCCTTATTAATTTTTTTTTGTTTTCCATGCTCTATTTCTACCTTACTTATAAAAGGCCCATTTTATACAGCATGCTTTCCACTGGCTACCTTATGTTACTAATCCTGGGAACCTGTTTCCTTGAATTTCTGGGCTAACTGTATGTACTTTGAGTACTGATCAATTTTTTGACTTGATTTGCTGTAGGAAAAGCAACTCAAAGAATTATATATAGCTAAAGAGAACTACAGACAGGGCCTACTTTGTAGTAGACAAAAGTTGGCTGCAGATTTCTCACTTCCATTTCAGAGAGTAGCAACATTTTCCTCCCTAGCTGTTTTCCATTTATCACCTCTCACTTAATGATAATCTCAGACACTCAAAGATGAAACCTTTGGAACATGAGAACAAAACATATAGTTCTTATGGAACAAACAAGTAAACTTAGAAAATAAAGTGATACAACCCAGATGCCACTCCGTAGATGACTGGATCAAGGAAATGTCATATATATATATGTATTTAATGGAATTCTGTTTCCATCAGAAAGAATGATACTGCTCCATTTGTAAAGAAATGGAAAAACTTGGAAAAAAACTCATATTAAGTGGAAAAGCCAAACTTAAAGAAACATAGGTCCCATGGTTTCCCTTATTTGTAATAATTAGTATGTCTAGGATAGTCCTAGCAGATGAACAGAATAGCTCAATAGTTATGTACATATAACCATATAAAATGATGCTAAATGAAATGAATTCCAAGACATGGATATAAGAAGTTTTTCTTTGTTATTGCTGTTTTTAATGTACTATATGATTTCTTGTTTCCCCTATTTCTTTTGATATTTTCTTTCCTTCCTTCCTTCCGGCTTTCCTTCCTTCCTTTCTTCCTTCCTTTTTCTTTCTTTCTTTCTTTTCTTCCTTTCTTTCTTTTCTTTCGTTCTTCCTTTTTTTTTTGCCAGTTTTGATTCTTGAACTGGAGACCTGGGCCCTGTCTCTGAGCTTTTTTGCTCACAGCTAGCATTCTACCACTTGAGGCACAGCTCCATTTCTGGCAGTTCAGTGGTAAATTGGAGATAAGAGTCTCATGGACTTTGCTGCCCTGGCTTGCTTTGAACCATGATCCTCAGATCTCGGCCTCCTGAGTAGATAGGGTTACCACATGGTACAGACTTCTTGTTGATATTTTTTAGGTTAAAAAAGTACAGATTATCTTTTAAACCAGATATAAAAATGTTTACTATCTCATTTTTATGCTACAGTTCAGTAATTCAGAGTAAAACTATTTAACATTCCTTTGACAAAAACTGATTCACTGAAGAGGCTCAATTATACTAGATTCTGTCTCCTTTTGCCTGAACAATGTATCAGTGCAATTCTCACCATTCTTAGTTTGCTTCTTTGTCTTGGGTTATCTTATTTTTCAGTTTGTGTGGTTTGGGTTTCTTTTTTTAATTTGTTTTGTCTGGTTTTGCTTTCCCTGCCATTGTTGTTCCCTAACATGATTTCCTGTGACATAAATATTTAATGGTATAATTATGATGTGATAGATGCACAATGCAACTCAGAATTCTGTGAGGCAATTTTTCTCTGCCTCACTCCATTGCAAAGTAGTGGTAATAATATCTGTTTCATGAGGGTGCATGGTTGAGGATTAGAAATGTCTACCAACTATAATGCTCAGGATGGAGATTACTTTAAAAATCCCTTGACACACAAATCTCCCTCTCCCAATGGGTATGAAAGTATATGAGTATCAACTTAATGCCAGATGGCTTTACTGTTCATGTCTTAAATCCAATTGTCCATTTTTTTAAAATATGCATTCATTCTTATTAATCATTTCTTAAATATATTTACAACATAGATTAAAAGCAGCTGAACATGTTTCTGGAGAAGTGAAAATGTTGAGTAGTATTTGTATATTCAACCATACATATATTCATATATATATATATATATATATACATGTGTGTCATAGAATCTTTCAGTCATTTTAATACTAGCCAAATGGAACTCTTATTAATGCTTCAGTATACAGTCCTATAAATTAGACAGTTAGAAGGCTCATTATAATTATTGTACAATACTTTTTTTTATAACTGCTCTGCAGCTTGGTTTCTAGGAGTTCAATATGTTCGTCCTGAACTTTTACTTTCTAGTGAACAGTTTCTTGAAGTATGGGGTTTTTTTTTGCTTATTTAAAATGATACAATAAACTTGTGAGGGTGGGAAGGGTAGAAGGAAAAAACTGTAAGACAGCAAGGGAAGGGGTGACATTGTCCAAAAAATGTACTTTTAACCTAACTTATGTAGCTATTACATCATCTTTATAATAACAATAAACATAAAAATAAATGACATGATACTGCCATGGTATAATCATGCCACAGTCAAAACCAAATTAAGCAATTGATACGTTTATGCATCTAAAAATCCAAACAAAAAATTATGACTTTTGAAATTTGATGAAGAAACCTATGTGCTAAATCTAATTAGCCTTAGAATATGAGCACAGTTGTTTGTTAATACCCATGGTAATGTTAAAAAGAGACTCAGAAATCTTAAGGAATATCAAATTGTGTACAGGCTATTTACACCCTCCTGAGAAGATCCACATCTGAATTCAATGTGAGGGGTTAAAGTATCAGCCCTTTGGAAAACAAAACTGCAGAACAAACCCAGATATATAGTAAAATATCACATCAAACATGAAGGCACTAATCTTCAGGAGAGCAAAATTTAAAATGTTGGGACTCAGCAACCACCTGCTATGTCCTCAACATCAGAACAAGGAATGACTTGTGTCAATATGAACAAAATATCATTAGGCAAGTTGAGTTCCAATCACAGGCTATACTTCAGGTGGTACTGATATTTTAAGTCATAATGATATTCTTGCATACTTGGATGTTCACTCGAAATCATAGTAAAATGTTGAATTTCCAGGGTCATTATTATCTTCTAAAGAATTACTGGTTGTGTTTGAGAAGTCAGCAGCTTTCAAAAGCAATGTTTTAATATGATAAATAATCTTCTTAAACATCTACAAGGATTTTTCTTCTAAGACTATAGATATTAAAATCTTTTTTCTGTTCTCTTAAGGTTCCTTATTCCACAAATAAGGAATGTGGAAGGTTGTTAAATACATGTTAAGGTCCCATAGGCAAAGTTGTCAGAATGAACTTCTGCCTGGATTCTGGTTTTTTTGGTGCAGGCCAACCAATCCACAATGGGTTTATATTGTAGTAAAATGTGAGTTGTACTGGGCTTAAATCAACAACCAAACAGCCTATATCCATAGGAAGAGAAGAGGATCCAACAGCATGTTTGGGAAACATGGAATCCAAAACCAGCTGATTCTAAAGTTGAACTTCATCCATACACAAAGGCTCAGACACCAAACAAACCCATCCCTTTTCACTTCTGAGACTTGGAAAACTCTTCCTGATCACCATAAGCTTCTGATTAGTGGATTAAGGGTGGGGAAGTATGTACCGCAAGTCAGAACAACTCAGGAGGCATAACTTGATATTCTGGCAAATTTTACCTTCTGGGAAATGTCATTATTTCATAAGCTTTTATTAAAGTATCATACTTCACAATTTCAATAGCTGTCTAACCACAATTTAGAAAGCAAATGTCTATGAATAACTTCTAATTCTAATTTGTTAATTCTCAGGGCATTTTTGAGCTCTCTGTTTTACATTGTCTTTCGAGTATCTGTGAGGAAATCACCAATTTTATAAAAGTAAACTCATAAAGTGGTGACAAATGTCACAATCTTAAGAAAATTATCTCTCCTTGATGTCTTCCAGATTTCTAATCATAAACTGAGTTCATATAAGTCACCGAGACCAGTGGTACAGTCTTCTCTAGCTAGTAGAACAATGCCTTGCAAAATGCCATGTTGGCTTTATTTTTATAGTTTCTCCTGTTTTTTTTCCCCTTCCTGACCTCAGATATGCCATTTATTTGCACTGGAACTGGAAATATTGTATTAAGAAATGACTTTAGAATAAGATTTTGTGTCTATGCCTACTATTTAGGTTCCATCTACTTATTATTCTTAGCTGTCATTCTAATTACTTTGAGTAAAACTCATATTACTACACTTGTCTCAGGAGAAAAGTATTAATATCACATTTTATTTGGAAAATAAATATCTCCCTAGAAAGCCAAAAACTGATTAAAGATTTATTTAGCTACAGTGGGGAATTATTTTAACACCAACTGGAATCCAACAAGAGTGGAAAATATGGTATTAAAGAAGAGTGTAAAAATTGGAAGTGTTGGAAGGAAAATGTAAAACTAATCCAGATGGCCTCAAACTCTCCCTTTAAAAAAGGAACCAATAAAAGAAAGAAAAGCTTTGGCTAGAGTGATAAAAATAAACAACATTCCCAGAGATTAATATGGGAATTCTGCTTGTTTACATTGTGAGAAAACTCCTGAAACCGGTAAGAGATTTAAGACAAACTAAATCTTTATTTTTGAATACAGTATTTTATTGCTGATGCAGGACAGTGCATATTCTACCCACTTTCTGAACACATTTTCCAACTCTAAATTATTTAAAGTTATTATTAAAGTAGGAAATTAGTATATGAGTACAATTGTATCAAAATTGTGAACTTTCACATGCTCAAAGATTGCCTTGCTTCTTTGTATGTTTCCAGTCATGCCAATGGCTGCCTGGCCTGGTTGAGTGGGCCAACCATTCCCAAAGCATGTTCTTCAGATTCACAGTATCTGGGATCCTACTATGAATAAAATTCCCTACACCCACCCAGACTGACTGAATTAGTCAGTGGACGGGCTCAGCAATCTAATTTCATAATCTCATATAAAATGAATGCATGTTAGTATTTGTAAACTGAGTTAAAAATTCCATCCCTGAATGGGTCCATTCCTATCAATTTAACACAACGTAACTTCTTTGTGCTTCTTATCCGACTGAATTGTTTCCTTCCAAATTTCCTATGTTGAAGTTCAAACCTCCAACTTACTTAGAATTTAATTTTTTTATCAGTAGGATCTATACAGAGAAATTAAAGTTACATATAGTCACTAGAATGAGTCCCTAATCTGTGTTTATGACTGCTGTCTTTGTAAGAGAAGATTGAAGCTTTCATACACCTAGAGCAAAGACCATGTAAAGACAAAGTAAATAGATGCTATCTGCAAAATAAGGAGACACTTCTCTAAAGAAGCAACCTTAACCATACACAGATCGCAGACAGGCCTGCCTTGTTCTGTTGCTCGAAATCATCCAGTCTAGCATCCCTAGCAAACAAAGCTTCTTCTTAACTCAGTTGGACCATTTGGAAAGTCTATGCACTTGGCCACAACAGACATCTGGCAAAGGGGGATGGGAGATAATGTTATAACAGGTGATGCTGATCAAAATGCAGCAAACACATAAACTGCTTTGTTAAATGACAATGTACAAATACTTAATGATATTTTTCTTTTTTTTATTTTTAAATTTTATTGTAAAGATGCTGTACAGAGGGGTTACAGTTACATGAGTAAGGCAATGAGTACATTACTTGTCGATCATTGTTACCCCTTCCCTTCCTTGTTGTGGTCCCACACTCCTCCCTATCCCCCATTCCTTCCTTCCAAAGTTGAAAGTTCATTTCCCATATACTGTCCTGTGGGTATCCTTGTTGTGAAGAAAAAAGAGGAGAAATGTTACTAAATAAAATTATCTTCTTTACTAGAAAATCGAACGATAGTTCTTAATGTCATCATTAAATACTAAAGTAATGATTTTTCTAAAATCATCTTATGGCCTAAACTATCATTCCCTAGACTGAGTTTATGACACAGGCCAAGTAAAGGCCAAAAGCTAAAAAGCCTAATGGAATATACCCAACATAATATTCTACAGAAGAGGAAGAGAAGGAGGAGGAGGAGGAGGAGGAGGAGGAGGAGGAGGAGGAGGAGGAGGAGGAGGAGGAGGAGGAGGAGAGGAGAAGGAGGAGGACAAGGAGGAGGAGGAGGAGGAGGACAAGGAGGAGGAGGAGGAGGAGGAGGAGGAGGAAGAGGAAGAGGAGAAGAAGAAGGAGAAGAAGGAGAAGGAGAAGGAGAAGAAGAAGAAGAAGAAGGAGGAGGAGGAGGAGGAGGAGGAGGAGGAGGAGGAGGAGGAGGAGGAGGAGGAGGAGGAGGAGGAGGAGGAGGAGGAGGAGGAGGAGGAGGAGGAGGAGGAGGAGGAGGAGGAGGAGGAGGAGGAGGAGGAGGAGGAGGAAGAAGAAGAAGAAGAAGAAGAAGAAGAAGAAGAAGAAGGAAGAAGAAGAAGAAGAAGAAGAAGAAGAAGAAGAAGAAGAAGAAGAAGAAGAAGAAGAAGAAGAAGAAGAAGAAGAAGAAGAAGAAGAAGAAGAAGAAGAAGAAGAAGAAGAAGAAGAAGAAGAAGAAGAAAAAGAAAGAAGAAGAAGAAGAAGAAGAAGAAGAAGAAGAAGAAGAAGAAGAAGAAGAAGAAGAAGAAGAAGAAGAAGAAGAAGAAGAAGAAGAAGAAGAAGAAGAAGAAGAAGAAGAGAAGGAGGAGGAGGAAGAGGAAGCAGCAAACAACCATCTAGGCATGGTGGCCACCCCTGGAATGGCAGCTAGTCAAGACAGGGCAAGGGGAGGATCGCTGTTTGAGGCTGAGTCTGGGAAAAAGCACAAGACTGAAAAAAAAAAAAAAAACAATTTGATTTAGTTTTATTTTTAAAATAGCTGAGAGAGTTGCTCAACTGGTAAAGCTCCTGCCTAGAAAGCACAAAGGACTGAGTTCAAACCCTAGTACTTCAAAAAGAAAAGACAAGATTATGATTGGCTAAGTTAGAACACTAGCTTATAAATTCCAACTTATATATCTAACTTTACTAATTTACAAATGATTAAATATAAATTACATGAAAATCAAAAAACACTTGAAGATGAAAAAAGCTTTCACTGCAGAAAATGCAAAGAAGGAAATGTTCATAATCTGAAGAGGAAAAATATTTTCTAAACAAAAATCAAATCAGATAATCCTTGAATATTGTTCTGCTTAAGCAAAAATACAAAACTCATTGCAAAATAAAATGGCAGCCTGAGTAAAAATTATTTACAACATGTATACAAAATAAATGGTTAATATATTTTAGGTACACAGTCCTCCTACAAGTCAATGAGAAAAATATTAACATATTAATATTGATAAAGTAGGGGAATGGAAATTCATGGAAGTACAAATGATTGAAGAATGAATGAAAAAAGTGCTCAGCCTCATTCGTACAAGTGGCACGGTTTATAGTTTAAATATTATTTATTTTTACCAAGTAGATTGGTCAAAGTTGAAGATTGATCAAACACAGAGTAGTGATGTCAGGAGCTGGGCATTTTCTTTTAGAATAGGTCACACTGCCCATTTTAGTACCACATATCAACACTTCAAATGAGTGTACCTTAACCCAGCAATTCCACATAGCTCAATTATAAAAGCATGAGAACGAATACCCTAAAAAAGCATCATGTGAAAGAAGGAAGAAACTAGAAACAAAATCAACTATTCATCAGTAAAAAATAAATAAATTATGACACATTTATCTTATGTAAAACTATGAGATACTAAAAATATTTTTGCATGTGATCACTAAATAAAAATTGCAGATCTAATATGTCTATTATGATGTTGCCTTTTTAAATTTTTATTTTATTGAAAAGATACTGTAGAGAGGGATTATAGTTACATGAGTAAGGCAATGAATTCATCTCTGGTCGAGCATTGTTACCCCTTCCCTTGTTGTTCTCCCACTATCCCTTCCCTCCCCTACACCCTCACTTCATAGCATAACACTTTTTAAATCTTTTCTGATATTTGAAAATTGTATCTTCTTTTTTTTGGGGGGGGGGGGTCCAGTCGTGGGGCCTGAACTCTCGGCCTAGGCGCTGTCCCTCAGCTCTTCAGCTCAAGGTTAGCGCTCTACCACTTGAGCCATAGCGCCACTTCCGGCTTTTTTCTTTTTGCTTATGTGGTGCTGAGGAATCGAACGCAGGACCTCATGCATGCAAGGCAAGCGCTCTACCACTGAGCCACCTTCTCAGCCCCATGAAAATTGTATCTTCATCATTTTTAGTTGATGTTTATGAAGACAAAGCAGCCATTCTGAGCAGTGACTCCTTTTTTTTTTTTTTTTGGTCCATGGGATTGAACTCTGGGCCTGGGCGCTGTCACTCGGCTCTTCAGCTCAAGGCTATCACTCTACCACTTGAGCCACAGCGCCACTTCCCATTTTCTGAGTGGTTTATTGGAGATAAGAGTCTTGGACTTTCTTGACCAGTCTGGCTTTGAACTGCAATCCTCAGATCTCAGCCTCCTGAGTAGCTAGTATTACAGGCAAGAAACACCAGAGCCTGATTTGAACAGTGACTTTTATGGCAACTTAGAATAGAGCAGGTGGTTTACAATTCAAGATTGCTAAGATTTAAGTCTAGCCAAGTTCCTGATTTACTTTATGAGCCTTCATGTTTGGATTTATGTGAAGAGACTGTTCTCACTTGGAGAAAGTAAAAGAAATGTAATTTGATATTGGACAGTTTCATAGCATTCAGTGACATGACACATAGCAGGGTAAATACAGGCTATCATAAGAAAATTTAAAATGCAAAAGCAAAAATACATGTGTTTCTCCCTTAGAGAAACAATCATTTCAAATGTAGCTGCAACTGTATTGTACAGAAACATATGTTTTCTATATTTTTAAGAACCTATATTTTCCCTGTATAGTCTATAGAGGGTTTGTTTTTGTTTTTGTTTTTGTTTTGGATTTTAGAAGTTCTTTGAATTAAGCACAACGCAAATGGAGTTCATTCTGCCTTATCTTTATGAATTACAAGAGTATACTCCTGAATACTTATGGAGAATAAACCCCCAATGTTTTCATGCCATTATGTTCCTTAAAAAATCATTTAAGGGACTGGGAAATGGTAGAGTGCTTGCCTTACATGCATGAGGCCCTGGGTTCGATTCCTCAGCACTACATAAGCAGAAAAAAGCCAGAAGTGGCGCTGTGCTCAAGTGGTAGGGTGCTCGCCTTGAGCTGAAGAGCTGAGGGACAGCGTCCAGGCCCAGAGTTCAAGTCCCACAACCGACTCCCCAACCCCCGCCAAAAAAAAAAAAAAAAGAATGAGGGAAGAATACAGTCAAAAATTCAACGCACAGACTACAAAATTAAGAGAAGTGAGAGAAGCGGTGGGTTAGGAGAGGTGGGTGAGAATGTTACAAAGGTGACACTGATAAATATGCTTCGCATTCATAAACTGGTTTGCTAAATGGCAAATCCTCTGCACAACTACTTAAAATAATATAAAGAAAGAAGAATTTTAAAGAAAAAAATGGATAGTATTCAAATGCTATTAAGAAGACAAGATGATTTTTAATCTGATATTGAAATAATTAGTGGGGCCTAACAGTTATTTTCCATTTTCCTGGTATAGCTCTAAGAAACACTTGCCTGCCCACATTGAAGTGAACAGGGTGTGTTGTTTGGGCCAGAGATACATAAGTAAATATGTATGCCTGCTATCAAGAAGTTTTAATAGCCTGTATTTGGCTCAGCATGCACTGTTTTCTTCTTTCTAGCATGACCAAAAACATAATGGTAGCTATTTTATCACTTACATGCCAGAAAAGTGATTACAAGGGCTAGTTCCCCTTCAGAGTGGACAGGAGCAATTGGAAAAACAAAAACCATATCACTGACATTTGTTGTTGTTGTTAGTGGTGGTGGTGGTGGTCCTGGGGCTTGAACTCTGGGCTTAGGCACTGTCCCTGAGCTCTTCAGCTTAAGGAGAATACACTACCACTTGTACCACAGTGCCACTTGCAGTTTTCTGGTGTTAGTTGGAGATAAGAGTCTTACAAACCTGAGACGTCTGTGTCCAGCTAGAATTGCCAAGTTTATATGATCTTCCTGAAAATAACCACTCTTGATAAACATTATTCCAAGTTTATTATAAAATCATTTTAAACTTGAAGCCAGTGAGCACTGAAATTACATGAGTTGCACACAGCTACAAACAGCAACATATACACATCACTATTTAATCCCTTATACAATCTGAGTATGAAAGCACAAAATACATTTCTTCACATAACAAGGAAAAACATATTTGACCTCTGATTATAATGTCTCAATAACAAGTTGAAATTCAACATTATTTTCCAGGTGGTGAATTATTCTGAAAACAGGGTAAAGAACCAAGAAAATACACATTACTACCCCTTGTTTATTTAATTATAGACAGTCAATTTGGAGCAATGTTGGTAAACAACTGAAGCTAGAAAGAATTTTTACAAAAGCTCTCTCTATATGTTTAACAAGTGCTCTTATTTAGGTTCTAAATTCAAATTATGCAGAACAATAAATCAGACTTTATTTTTAAGTCTGCAAGTGAGAAAATTGAGACCATTTGTCACAAAACAGAAGCATCCATATATGTGTGTCTTAACAGTTAGCTTTACAGACAATTAGAAGCAATTCTTCTGTCTCTAGAAAAATATTTAAAGAAAAGTTTTCTATTACCTACTTTAAACCATCAGTAAAAAGTCTCACGCTCTTAGAAGTGCTTATGGCCAATTACCAGTCATCATTCATTTTGCATTCACAACCACGAATACCATATACATTTTCATTTCCTTCAAAAATAAATCACATTTAAAAGTCCTGTTTTAGGCCTATGCACCACTTGCCTTGAAAAACAGAATTCTCTAGAAATCATTTGTGTGAGTAGTAGTATGTATTAATTAATATGATACTAATTAATGCAAAAAATCCACTTATTCTGAAGGCCTGGTAATAAATTTTAACACAGAGCTTAAAGCATTCAAATGGATGAAACTGTGGAAACTATTACTAATATTTGTTTGAAGATATCAGCACAAATATATTGCCACGTGCAATATTTAGAACAGTACTCCCAGCTAGGGTGCATTGTCCAGTGAGTTATCAAATCTCTGTGCTGCATTTACTGAACAGAAACAAAATTACAAAGTCAGAATTCACACTGTAGTCCTTGCTTTAACTGCTTTCTTTAAAAAGCCTAACATCAAGAAAACAGCCACTCTTTTACTAACTTTTTAAAATTTTTGGTGTTTAAATTATGGGCTTAACATTATCTTAAGACCAATTAGTTTTTCTGAAAGCAGATAATACTTACTCCAGAATGTATATCGTCATCCCTTTGCTCCCCAAAGTCTAGTATCTCACACAGGTTCAGATAGTACCCATGCAGAGAGACATGTACAGAATAACATAGTGGCAATAAATTACAATTCTGCCATTGTATTAGAAGGCCTCAGAGCCTCCAGGCTTCTCAATTGAAATTAGAGATGTTTATTCCCAACACCATGAGGAAGGGTAGAGATTGAGTTCTTTGACTTGGGTTCACACTCTTAAGTAAGTATGGGAAATAAATATCTGCTCTGAAAGTAGCCAACCCATCTGAAAATTCTGTGCTTGAAGTGCTCATGAACACATGAGAACATTTATGCAATGCAAGAGTTATCGCAAATTGCAGTAGCTTTCTTTTAGACGTATAATATACATGCATGCAGACACATATGCACTACAATAACCAATAGATTACTGTCAGCTTCAATTTATGTGCAAAAACTTTTCAACCCCATATTTAACTTGTACCAAGAAATTCTTCTAATTCAACATGGTAAATATTTCTCCCACATCTATCTAATGTACTTTTGTAAGAATGAACTCTGGCTGGAATATGTAGCTCAGTAGTAGATACTTGCTTAGCATTCACAAGGCCTTGGATTCAACTCTCAACACTACCAAAACAAGCCATTTTATGTTATTTATCACTGAAGAGTCTTAAATTAAGAATATCATGTGCCTGTGTGTGCCTCTGTGTGTATTTGTGTGAATGATTTTTTTAGCTCAATACAAAATGATCACATATAAACCTTCAGTGACGCTATTCAATTCCTTTGTTTGCTCATGAGAACTTACCAAAATTTACAAGTTGACAACTTTCACAGTAAGTTACCAGATCAAGAGCAGAAATTTATGAACATAATTTAAGTCTAAAAGAATTCACAGCCAGGCGCTGGTGGCTCACGCCTGTAATCCTAGCTACTCAGGAGGCTGAGATCTGAGGATCGCGGTTCAAAGCCAGCCCGGGCAAGAAAGACCGTGAGACTCCTATCTCCAATAAACCACCAGAAAACCGGAAGTGGCACTGTAGCTCAAGTGGTAGAGCGCTCGCCTTGAGCTGAAGAGCTGAGGGACAGCGCCCAGGCCCAGAGTTCAAGCCCCACAACTGACAAAAAAATAAGTAGAAATGTATTTCCTTATTATAAAGTAGAACTACCTACCATGGTTTCTGATTGGCCTAAAACATTTTGAATGCATGCTAAAGTTAGGGGATTAAATTATTCAAGCAAGCAAGAAAAAAGTCTGCATTATTAGTGGTCTCTGGTTAACCATTTCAAACAACTTCAAATATCTGGCTAATTTCCAATCTCCTCCTCAACACTAGTAACACAGATTTTTAGAAGATATGACCATACAGAATTGGTGAAGCTGCCATCAGCAGAATTTCCTGTGTATGTGTATGTGTGTGTGTGAGAGTGTGTTGTGTATGTATGTAACAATAATACACTAGCTACAAACAGCCTTTCAACATGATGTCTTCTCTTTCTTTTATTCTCTGACACAGAAATGATGACTCAGAATTAAGACCTTCTACCAATTAATGCTCCTTATACATAACATTGTGAATTTGTGTTTTCACTTGTACTTTTCACGGGAGAGCTCTTGAGGAATTGTTATCTATATAAGTTGTCTATATCAGTGTTAAGATAGATCTTTCATCCCTCCAAAATTTATTGAGTACCAGTACACTACTTATTTCAGAATAAAGAGAGATTATTTAAACATTGAACATCTATAAGTTGTCAAAATATCTTAGAATAACAACTGATCTCCAAAATAATAAAATTGAGAAGTCATATTTGTCAAGATGACAAGAATGGGCCCATTCTAAGGAATCTGGCAAAGGCAGGCCAATCTCCTATCAGGCCAATCTGGCAGAGTAGTGGTGTTTATAAGCCACAGTGAGTCCCAGTAATCATGATAATGCATGCACGGATTGAGGCTATGTAAAGACTTGACTCTGTATTTCATAGAACCTACCTATTCGGAATAGCTGCACAGCAGTAATCCCCAAATTAACATCTCTGTGCAGGAATTTTTAAGGTGTTTGTTCTCCAGTAATATGTCAAGTAAATGCACGAGGCCTCAACAGATTCATTTATTCCAAAAGCATGAATCACACAGGGAAACTCAGTTATTTTCTACCTGACTCCTATAGCATTATTTCATTCTACCTCCAGTTGACAAAAACAAATGAAAATGTGCATCCGGGCAGCTAACTTAAATTTTAAAAGCCAGATCTGACCAAACTAACCACCCTACTCCCCCCCCGCCCCAAATTATATGCTGAGGTCTGAATTTTCCAGTTAGGCTGCACATATATATATATATATACACATATACATACATATATATATATATATCTTTATCTTGTTAACTGAAATTTGACCAAAACTATTAAATTTGTTCTAGCCCTACACTGACTTACTATCCAATTAAATTAGGTGCTTGTGAATTTATTTTCTCTGTAACTGGTGACTCAGAAATAGCAGCAACCTTTAAAGAATTTTTAATGGAGCTAAGCTCCCAAATGTGTAAGCTGATGATCTGCACTCCACAACAGCGCCTGGCGAGCTTGTAGAGATTCTTCAGGACAGCCTTTCGCAGGAGAATATACACCCAAGGATCTAAGATTTGGTTCCATGTTGCCATTCGAAGAGCGAAAAGTATTGTTTCACACGTCTCTAGAGAATGGTTTCCATTTATTCCAATGTTGGCCATGGTTGCCTAAAAAACAAAGAAAATAAAAAACTTGGTTGAGGACAGACATTTTCAGTCTAACAGATTTTTTAGTAGAATGACATTCCTTCTATTATCCACAAAGTGATGTCACTTTGTACAGTCATAAGTGATGGTATAACCATTCACAAACATTTGAATCTTTTAGATTTAAGTTGACATCAAAGATACAAAAAATGATAGCTGCTGTCTGTCATCTGTGCACTCACAGAATGACTCAAGGGAGAACATGGTTGAAAGCAATGACAAGCCTTCTTATGCTTCTGGGATAGTCATCTCAAAGCCAACATGCTTCTAAATATTTCAGTGAAAACCACCAAAGGAAATACTTTGTTCAAATATAAACAAAATCAACTACTAATAAGTTAACAAAGCTGAGCAACAGTGGCTCACACCTGTAATCCTAGCTACTTAGGTGGCTGAGATCCGAAGATCATGATTCTAAGCCAGCCTGGGGAGGAAAGACTATGAGACGTATTTCCAATTAACAATCCAAATGCCAGAAGTAGAGCTGTGGCTCAAGTGGTAGAGAGATAGCATTGAGCACAAAAGTTCAGGGATAGTTCCCAAACCCTGAGTTCAAGCTTCAAGACTGCATAAAAAAATCAATTCATCAATTAACAAGTCATTATATACAATGAATTTAGAGCATTTGACCTTAATTTTCTAAGGCATATGAGATTTTCTGGAAAGTTCCTTAAAATTAGTAAGAGATGTTGCTAACACCAGTGTCTTAAGATGTACATGTCATCCAAATTTTAATTTGGCTCAGATATTCTTGTAAGCATACAATGGAACTTTCTGGGGCCTCATGAAAATGAGTCCACCTCCACATTTCCCTTGTGACTTCCATTTCCTGACTAAGTGCAACTGTAAAGAGCTCATTCCATGGAGTCTATTCCATAAATGGCCCCAGCTATGTGCCCGAAGTCAATGAGTCCTTGGCTTCCAAATCCTTATATCAAAGAACAAATAACCAATAAATGAATAAAAGATTACATTGAAATTTTAAATAGTGCTTGGATCATTGTATCCATCAGATTAAGAAATGATTAGCTATTTTTTATTAATAAGTGTTTTTATTGTGAAAATACCATACAGAGGGGTTACAATTACATGAGCAAGGAAATGAGTATATTTCTTTTTTTTTTTTTTTTTTTTTTTTGGTCCGGTTGTGGGGCCTGAACTCTGGGCCTGGGCGCTGTCCCTCAGCTCTTTAGCTGAAGGCTAGCGCTCTACCACTTGAGCCACAGCACCACTTCTGGCTTTTTTCTTTTTGCTTATATGGTGCTGAGGAATCGAACCCAGAGCCTCCTGCATGCAAGGCAAGCGCTCTACCACTGAGCCACCTTCCCAGCCCAATGAGTATATTTCTTATCAAGCATTGTTGCCTCCTCCATTTTTCCCCTTACCATCCCTGCCCTCTCATCTCCTCCCACCCCCCCCCCCCGCCCCGCCCCACACACACCAAAGTTGTAAAGTTCGTTTTTCGACATAACGTCCTGTACATCTCATTGTTGCAATGGGTCCACCTGTATCCTTATTTAAACAATTGTTTTTTCACTTCCCCTCCACAAATTATACCAACATCAAATACAGTGAAAACAGGGATTATACCATGGAGGAAGGACATACAAAGCAACAAAGAAATCATCTTATAACTATGTTAGAAACAATAGCAAGAAATAAAAACAATTTGGAAAACATTATATTAAGTGAAGTAACCAGGCCCAAAGAAACATAGATCCCATGGTTTCCCTTATTTGCAATAACTAGTATATGTCTGAGACAAGCAGAAATGGTCAGACAAGTTGATGTTAGGCGAAATGAGCCCCAAGATAAGGACTCAAATAGAAATGATAAGTTCTTTTAGAACTTAAAAACCAAAATGAAGAGTCTAAGCCATGCGCGCTCTGCGCTGCTGCGCTCGGGCCGGGGTGGTGCGCAGGGGCCCGCGGCCGCAGGCCCGCCGCGGGGAGCTAGGTCAGGCAGTGGGGCACACCGCACCACGGCGGGGTTCGGCACGGAGGAGCGCGGCCGGCCCCACACTCTGGACTACCGCCTCCTCGTCAAGAATATGGCAGGTCACTACATTTCCCCATTTCATGATATTCCTCTGAAGGTGGATATTAAAGAGGAAAATGGCATTCCCACGAAGAAAGCACGGAATGATGAATATGAGAATTTGTTTAATATGGTCGTGGAAGTGCCTCGGTGGACAAATGCTAAAATGGAGATTGCCACCAAGGAACCATTGAATCCCATTAAACAAGACGCGAAGCATGGCAAGCTGCGCTTTGTGGCAAACATCTTCCCTCACAAGGGTTATATATGGAACTATGGGGCCCTCCCTCAGACTTGGGAAGATCCCAATCAGAAAGATAAGAACACAGACTGCTGTGGAGATAATGACCCTATTGATGTTTGTGAAATAGGCTCCAAGGTTCTTTCTCGAGGAGAAGTGGTTCAGGTGAAGATCCTTGGGATTTTGGCTCTCATTGATGAGGGAGAAACAGATTGGAAATTAATTGCTATCAATGTAAATGATCCTGAAGCTGAAAAGTTTCATGATATTGATGATGTAGAGAAGTTCAAACCAGGTTATTTAGAAGCTACTCTGAATTGGCTCAGATTTTATAAAGTACCAGAAGGAAAAGCAGAAAACAAGTTTGCTTTTAATGGAGAATTCAAAAACAAGGCTTTTGCTCTTGAAGTTATTAAATCTGCTCATGAATGTTGGAAAGCATTACTTATGAAGAAGTGCGATGGAGGAGCTATAAAATGCACAAATGTACAGGTGTGTGATAGCCCTTTCCATTGCACCCAAGAGGAAGCAAGATCATTAGTTGAGTCGGTAACAACATCTTCAGTGAATAAAGACAGTAATGTTGAAGAGCAAGTTTGGCAAATGAATGGAGGTTTTGAAGTTTTGCCATCAAGATTTCAGCCTGTAAGGAACTTTCTTAAATGCAAGAGATAAGCAGGTCTATAAGCATTTGCTAACTTTATGTTGAAATTTCATTGACATTTTGAAATATGCAATATGTAAATAAATAATTTTTTGAAAAAAAAAAACAAAATGAAAACCATTTACAGAAAGGCCTTCTATAGTTATGTTTACTTGCACTGATGGCATCAAAGGTTGAAGGGCAAAGGTATCTTATCCAAACTTCCTCTGTCCACAACATGAAAAACATCTTCATCTAGTTTCTTGATGATGTACATGTAAAACATACCTCCATATTGCATGTCTCCTAAAAATACCCTATGTTCCAAATCTTAGAGAAAACCTCACTTGTCCAGGTCGACTGCTCCTTCTGAGATTTTGCAACTCTTATTTGTTTTGAACCCTTATCATCTGACCAACTTTTATCCATCCAAGCCCCACACAAAAATAAGCTATTTCCATATAACTTTTCTCAGAAAAATGAATCATCAATCCAAGTTGTGTTCCCACAGCAACTTGCCTCTGCCTCTGCCCAGTTACATCACAACAATGCATAATTGTACATTTATCTGTATATCTATGAGCATCTTTTAAAAGGTTATTTTATTTTTTTAACCTGTTCTCAGGGCCTGGATCTGTCTTTGAGCTTTTTTGCTCAAAACTAACACTATCACTTGAGCAACAGCTCCACTTTTCTGTTTTTGGTGATTTGTAAGAGATAAGAATCTCACAGACTTTCCTGCCTGGGTTGACTTTGAACCATGGTCCTCAGATCTCAGCCTCCTGAGTAGCTAAATTACAGGCATGAGCCACCAGCACCAACTCTTAATATCTAACATTCAATAAAAGCTGCTACATAAAATGTACTAAGTGTTACAATAAATTCAATTATGTCTTTATTTCTTAAGGTTATTTCTAAAACCACAACTAATCATTAGAGAAACCTATGACCATCTATCACAAGGGTTTAGTATTGTGCTTCTGAAAGTTTTAATATAGCAGCACCCACTAGTGAAGAATTTCAGTGTGATTTGTTGGCACAAAAAGAGCTGAAATCACTTGGGAAATGGTGTCTTTCCCAGGAAAGACACCAAACTGTAGGCCTAAATATTTGTAAGTAAATTGGACTAAGATAAAAATAGTATTTTCTGCACAATATTATCTAGATCAAACACAGACTCATTTGTTTTCCAAAATTAATCAATAGGATTATCTTTAGAGGCCCAGTTCCTCCTAGAAGAAAGCAGAACCAAGACTTAATTCTCAACTGGGTCAGATATTTTCACTTTACATTTTTCTTTTTTTGGGGGGGGGGGGGCGGGGTCCGGTAGTGGGGCCTGAACTCTGGGCCTGGGCGCTGTCCCTCAGCTCTTCAGCTCAAGGCTTGAGCCACAGCGCCACTTCCAGCTTTTTTTCTTTTTGCTTATGTGATGCTGAGGAATCGAACCCAGGGCCTCAGGCATGCAAGGCAAGCGCTCTACCACTGAGCCAACTTCCCAGCCCCTCACTTTATATTTTTCTTTATTGATCAATTATCTTCTGTATACTCGGCAATATGCTAGTCACCAAGGACACAATGATGGCCACAGAAGACAATGTTAGCTTGAAAAAAAACATTTTTTTTTTGGCCAGACCTGAGGCTTGAACTCAGAGCCTGAGCAATATCCCTGAGCTTTTGCTCAAGGCTAGCATTCTACCACTTGAACTACAGCACCACTTCTGTGTTGTTGTTTTTTTTTTTCTGTTTATGTGGTACTAAGGGATCAAACCTAGGGCTTCATGCATGCTAGGCAAGCACTCTACCACAAAAGCCACATTTCCAGCCCTTAGCTTGAAAGTTTTCGTTTGGTTCAATGATGAAAAATAATTATTTCTTCACAAGTATAAAATACATGCATTTTTGATTAACTATTGGATATGTTCAGGTATGTCATAGCCCAGACAAGACACTGATTTGGGGAATAAATGAGCTCTTTATCATTTTAAGGAACAGTTTAGCGTTGCTTTAGAGGCACACACATTTGAAGAGCTTTAGTTAGTG